AGGAAAATTTTGGCATAAATTCGAGAAAAATTTGGGAGAAATTTGGGAGAAATTCGGGATATTTGGGATGGGTCAGACACTGCCCCACACCCATGATGTTCCCTGGAAAACAGGGGGGAAATTGGGGAAAATTGGGGGAAAATTGGGAGAAAATCGGGCGAAATTTGGGGAAAATTCCGGGAAAAATCGGGGAAAATTCGGGGAAAATTTGGGAGAAATTTGGGAAAAATTCAGGAAAATTTTGGCATAAATTCGAGAAAAATTTGGGAGAAATTTGGGGAAAATCAGAGATAAATTCAGGATAAATTTGGGATAAATTTGAGATGAATTCAGGATATTTGGGATAAATTCAGGATATTTGGGATGGGTCAGACACTGCCCCACACCCATGATGTTCCCTGGAAAACAGGGGGGAAATTGGGGAATATTGGGGGAAAATTGGGGGAAATTCAGGAAAAAATAGGGCGAAATTTGGGAAAAATTTGAGAGAAATATGGGAAAAATTCGGGGAAAAATTGGGAGAAATTTGGGATGAATTCAGGGAAAATTTGGGGAAAATTCAGGAGAAAGTCGGGGAGAAATTTGGGAGAAAAATCAAGAAAAGTTTGGGATAAATTCAGGATAAATTGGGATAAATTCAGGACATTTGGGATGGATTTGAGGTGGATTTGGGATGGATTTGGGGATATTTGGGATGGATTTTGGGATATTTGGGATGGATTTGGGATGGATTTTGGGATATTTGGGGTGGATTATTTGGGATATTTGAGATGGATTTTGGGATATTTGGGATCTTTGGGATGGGTTTGGGGTGGATTTGGGATATTTGGGATGGATTTTGAGTTTTTTGGGATGGATTTTGGGGTGGATTTGGGATATTTGAGATGGATTTTAGGATATTTGGGATCTTTGGGATGGGTTTGGGATGGATTTTGGGATATTTGGGATATTTTGGATGGATTTTGGAATATTTGGGATGGATTTGGGGTGGATTTTGGAATATTTGGGATGGGTTTGGGATGGATTTTGGGGTGGATTTTGGGGTGGATCTGGGGTGGATTTTGGGATATTTGGGATATTTTGGATGGATTTTGGAGTATTTGGGATGGATTTGGGATATTTGGGATCTTTGGGATGGATTTGGGGTGGATTTGGGATGGATTTGGGGTGGATTTGGGGTGGATTTGGGGTGGATTTTGGGATATTTGGGATCTTTGGGATGGATTTGGGATGGATTTTGGGGTGGATTTTGGGATCTTTGGGATCTTTGGGATGGGTTTGGGATGGATTTTGGGATATTTGGGATCTTTGGGATGGATTTTGGGATGGATTTTGGGATATTTGAGGTGGATTATTTGGGATGGATTATTTGGGATATTTGAGATGGATTTTGGGATATTTGGGATGGATTTGGGATGGATTTGGGATCTTTGGGATGGTTTTTGGGATGGATTTGGGATGAGGAAGAGGAAGATGAGGGGAGGGGGAGGGGAGGAAGCAGCACCTGCCGAGTGGTAGAGCGGCAGGCAGGTGTAGATGACGTCATCGGGGCGCATCCGGAAAGCGAAATAACCAAAGGCAGCGATGCGGTAATACCTGAGAGACAACACCTGGACAGGTGAGAGACAACACCTGGACAGGTGAGAGACAACACCTGGACAGGTGAGAGACACACCTGGGACACACCCAAACACACCTGGACAGGTGAGAGACAACACCTGGA